CCTCAGATGATCCGAGAAGTTGCCGAAACACTTTCGAAGCAATCAGCTCAAGGATCATTCACCTGGAGCAAACGGGAGCAAAGATGAACGCAGACAGACTTTGGCGTCGAATAATCTTTTCCAAATTTCCCGAATCCATTTGTACGACCGCCATCCAAAAAGAAGCGTTAGAAGATAAACCCTTCGATGTTAACAAAATCCTTGATGCTATCGACGGCATTATCTCACTGCGGGAAACCACTTCGCTTACAACGGAAACTCTCTTTCCAACCAGTCACCGTCAAGACACTCAGCAAAATGGAAGGAGCAACAGGACGAAATGGGAAGAGGAAAGACAGCTCTCTAAACCAAAACGCTTGTGTTTATGTGGACAACCACATTCTCCTCACACCTGTCAGAGGTACACCACACCAGAAGCCCGACGACTTCAAGCAGCAAATCAAGGAGTTTGTTGGAGATGTTTTGCAAGCGATCACAACTCTAACGCTTGCACGAATTTTGGCGTGTGCCCCAAATGCAAAGGATCACACCATGGATCTCTTTGCTTGTCAGAAGCAGGAAAACGCAGAGGATTCTCGACACAATACCGAGATCCTGCACTTGATCAACATTCACCTGCTCCTTGGTCATCCCGTGACAATAGTCAGGATCGTCATGAGAAGAGTACTACGCACGTCGTACAAGGCTCACGACAAGAAGTCTACAATCCCGAAGTACTTCGACTTGCACAGAATCAATGCATTCTTCAAATTGTTTCGGCAACTATATTCAACGAGGCAGAGTGGGATTACCAGCCAGTAACGATACTACTTGACTCCGGTGCACAACGAAGTTTCATCAAATCAGGACTTTGTGAAGAACTCAAGCTTCCAGTCCTTCGTACTACTTCGTTTACTACATCTGGGATGGGCGAGCAACAAGAGCAATTCAACTTATCTGAAGTACAAATCACCTTGAAAAGTCTTCACAGCTCCGAGAAGCTCAAGAACTTGTCAGTACACACTAAGCAGAAGCTGACTACCGACATGCAGACAGCAAGTCTCACGGAAGCAGACTTGCGTTTTATCTCTGATGAAAAGCTGATAATCGCTCAAGATACGCTCTCCTGCAAAAGCGTTTCACCCGACATGATCATAGGACAAGATCTCCTAAATCTCGTCACTATCCACAACGACAGAGTGCGCAAGCTTCCTTCAGGCCTCATTCTGACTTCAACCATCTTTGGACACGTTATATCAGGGACGAGCGCCACTACCACTACATCAAAGTTTGTTGGCACATTCGGCTGCATATCAACGCTGAAGGAAACACTCAGGAACAACCGCCCAACATTTCCACAACACAAAGAGAGATTAAAGAAACCTAAGTCGTACTCTCATCTCAACAGTACGAACACACGAACAAGCAACAAGCCATTATCGGCAAAGCAGGATGAAGGAACAATCCAAAGAAGAACGATTCCGTCGCGAACAAAACTACAACCATGCTCTTCATCCAGCCGACAGTCCAGCTTCACAAAGCAAACAGTCACTGCCTCCATTCTCGTTGAAGCTCGAGCGGACAGACAACGTTGGTTGGCAACAATACGCTCCATGACGAACTCCAATGTTCGCGCCCAATATCGGATAGATTGGCTACCGCAGCGGTTCACAAATAATGAAGCCAAGATAAGGATGACGAATTCACCGAAGAGAAGACATCACGAGAACACACATCGCGCCAGCACGCCGTCTATCAAGGATATGGTCATCAATGGATCATCTACCATCGATTCAGTGTGGAAAAGGAGGAAATGGCGAGGACGACGAGCAGCGCTAAACCACCAAACAGCTCCAGCGACCACTCCAGGATCTTTTCCCATTACCACTTTATCTAAATGATCGTCCTCTTGTGTGTATGTTCAAGTTACTTGCAAATCCTCCTTCATAGCTCATTTTTCTGTACGCGTAGGTATTAACTTATTCGCTAGTCAACTTCACATGTATCTGCCACTCTAATTAGGATCTTACCAGATCTCACTTTCCTCTCGCTCGCCCGGAGTGTTGATGATTTCTGTATCATCAACCATTGATGAACTCTATATTCTAGATAGCCTACGGAATACCCGTAGGCTAAATTATGAGCTACTCACTCTTGAGTATCTAATCACTCAAGAGTGAGTGGTACCCGTGCGCCAGGAGTGTAGCCAATCGGCGGCACCTCCTTTCAAGCACCAACTCGTGTACATTGTACCTTTTACTCGGTTCAGCTCCGCCTTCCTTCCTATATAAGGAGCCTCCGAATGTATTAGAGGTTGCTCCCCGGTCCACACCGGGACACCTCACACTCTCTTCTTCACGACTAATCTACGCCCGTGCGAATAAATCTATATTCCACAACCTCGTCTACCCCAAATCACTTGGTACCCATGTTGATGATTTCTGTATCATCAACCATTGCTAAACTCTATATTCTAGATAGCCTACGGAATACCCGTAGGCTAAATTGTGAGCTACTCACTCTTGAGTATCTAATCAGTCAAGAGTGAGTGGTACCCGTGCGCCAGGAGTGTAGCCAATCGGCGGCACCTCCTTTCAAGCACCAACTCGTGTACATTGTACCTTTTACTCGGTTCAGCTCCGCCCTCCTTCCTATATAAGGAGCCTCCGAATGTATTAGAGGTTGCTCCCCGGTCCACACCGGGACACCTCACTCTTCTTCACGACTAATCTACGCCCGTGCGAATAAATCTATATTCCACAACCTCGTCTACCCCAAATCACTTGGTACCCACCAAATTGGTGAAACATTGTGATAATATTATGAATATTTTTTGGCTAATAAACGAGATACTGAAACGGTGCTCAAGCCGGCGCAAATTATTGATTGGTTGAAATCCACTTGTTTACAGAAATGTACATGCTATTCACAGAGAAGCAAATGAACACCCGGTCTCGAAGCTACATTTAGAAGGCAAAGGCTATATGAAGCGTTTGAGAGCAATGAGTAGTGAAATGATGTTCTTGCGCCAGTATAGTAGATCTCTGAATTGATGGTGGCAATTGCCACCACCAGGTCCGAAAGGGTTAAAGGCAGTGTCTCACCAAAGTTGAGGTCGCGCGGATCTTCACATATTCTATTATAGGGACCTCTAAATAGGCCATTGCAACAAGCCGCGCTCAATTTGACCCCCTCCACGTCGGTCTATCCCCTTACGCTTTTGAACATGTCCCTCCACTTGGCATCCACCTCCCCTCTATTGCTGCCACTGTGGCCGAGGCTGAAGTTGGAATACACAACTCGTCCATGGTGCTTCCGCGGGGCCTCCAGAAAACGGGGTTTTTGTGGACTTCGTGCGATTTCAAGCCCATGCATACTAGACAGGGTTCGACAGGCTTGCAAAATGCAAAAATCTCGGCAACTAAATTTTGGTGAGACACTGCCTCTAAAGGCACCAGCCACCCAAAACGGGGTCAATAAGATTTCGATGCTTAACAGTAGTGGGGCCCTCAATTACATACTTGCCCAACTCGTGCTGCCAAAAGTTGTTTCCAAAGCCAGAAAATTGCTTCGAAAATCGCTTCAAATCGGGTTCTCCAAATGGCCCTCCTCTTTAAGCGGGCGTGGCGTTCGCCTTCGCCCCGCCCATCCGTGCTCACCCAACCAATCACCGTTCTGGAGAAACCGTGAGGTCGTCAGGATTGGTTGAGCAGGTACGGATGGGCGGGCATTACTGGAGGGGCGTTGCGCCTATGAGTACTCCGCTCTCTCCGTTGATCGGGCGATTTTTTCCGCCTCCGAAGTTCTTCTTCTATTATAAGGCCGATCCCTGATGAAAGCGGTCGATTCGCATTTTAGCATCGTTCAGAGCTCGTATACCCGCGCACACCTCGCTTACATCAGCAGCCGCCTTAGCCTGGAAATAGCCCTTATAATCCCTAGTTTAGAAATAAGTTTAGCGTGTGTTGCTTCGCCTTTGTAGCTCGATGGAGCCGTTCATGTGAAAATTCGACTTACCTTTTCCCACTGCAAGGTGTCCCAAAAAAGTTGCACTATCTGGTCGTTGATGACTTTCTAGCTTCAAGGTCTTCTGATCTTCAGGTACCATTCTGTAGAGCTATTTCAGCTTAGATTTACAGTAGTAAACGAATCATTGATCGTTGTTCGTTAGTGTAGGGTTACGGAGGGAATTTTGAAGAGGGTTTCAAGCAGTAATGGTTAGAGGCACATTTGCATAAGAAAGCTAAATTAGCTAGGCAGATATAAATATTTGTTACAAGGTATTGATATTTTTCTCGAAGGCAGCGTCTGGGCAAAAGTTTCTAGCGATTTCGCTCATCTGAGGTCATCCGCAACGCGGAACCTGAAAATCGCTTTGGAGAGCGCAGAACGGCAAAATAGACGTTTTCCAAAGCCTTATCATTTGGATTGAACAAGTGGAGCAGACTCCTCTGTGACTGACACACGAAGTCTCTGCGGGACCCTACAACTTCACCTGCGACGTCAACCGTATTCTTGCGCAGAGGAAATTCACACATAAGCAAGGCTTTTCACTAGGGAGTTTTTCAACTTCCTTACCTTTTTCTGCTTCTGGTAGACGTTGGGAACTCGCACTTGCGCGAGGTGTGACCGAGAGGGTCCACTTTCGCATGGCGGTCGAATTTCAGAACCCCTAATCGTGTTAGACCCCGGTCAGACTTTACGCGACTTAATCGTCGCGATCTAATCGCCAAGATTTCCATTCATTTTCATTTCACATCCAAAAATTTCGGTCTGGAAAAGTACCACAACCGAATGCAAGTTGATCGGCATGGAATGATGTTGTAACAGTTGTCCCGTCGCGACTCAGTCGCGACGATCAAATCGCGTGAAGTCTGCCCGGGGCCTTAGGGCACTTTAAATTGCGCGATCGCAACCAGGGCGCAGTTGAAGTCAAATAGCCTATCTAACTTCTATGAGCACATTAGGTAGAACTACTTTACGCCCATACTGTTGTGAACCAACAATAAGCACCATAAATAAACTTTATTACAATTTAACGAAGAGCGTGTATGCCCACTGCAATTTCTCCAATAGCGGTCAGGCCTTTCCATGCCGCTTGTGGATCCTTGCAATCAACTGGTTTTGGAGCATACTGCACGATAAATTTGTCGCTTTTGGGCTGTGCCTTCTGAAAAATCACGCATTCTTTAACTAAGCAGATACAGTAGTAATACAATAACACTTACAGTACGCGTGATTTCGACGTTTAGCTTCGCACCAGCCTTAATGAACGCGTAAACCTCCTTGAATCGATAATCTTTGTTATTGGTGCTTTTGATCTTGTAGACTAAGTCAGTCATTCCGCTGTTGGTCAGCGTATACTGCACACATCCACCGTCCGCTTCGAATACCACCGACGAACCACCCAACAGGGCCATGATACCGTACTTATGGAAATGAACTGAACTCTGACTTTGTTTCTCGGAAAAACTAGAAACATGTTTGTTTGAGCCAAATTTACTTATCATTTGGGAGGCATCAAACTCATCTGGGGAAGGGAGGTCGGCGGGGGCGAATACTGAAAAAAATTAAGAGCTGCGCAAGTTATGTTTTTACGGTTTCTTCTTCTTACGGAGCATACTTCGTGCGATTTGAGGCCTTACGTTATTTTGGCGACTTACCAAAAGTCTCCAGCTCACCAAGCGGGTTTGAAATGCTTAGCATTTATGATTTTTGAACGTTGAAACGCTTATTGTTTTCCGTATCCAAAATGCGCCTATGAGTCACAAATAGTTGGAATATTGCCAATGCGCCGCGACTGAAATCGCGCCGGTAATGTCAAGGAGCTATTGCTAAAGATGTACTGATGGTTCTGAACTTGCAAGAATCTATATACATAGTTCATCGCTTTTATTCTTTTGACATGTCGCAATACTGGATCCATGAGGGTACGGTAGATATACGGTAGAGAATTGCTCGAATTGCTTCAAATTTTACTTAGAACGGGATTATTCAATTCGCTGTTCACACTATTCTTACATCAGTAATCCATAAAATCGCCCACTACATCGATAATAAGTTCGAAATCCGGGATAGGGTCATTTTGCAATACCGTATTAAACACGGTCCGTGTGGAAAACACCACGGCAGCGTAAATCGGCGTGCGATCTCGAAGTAGGCAGCTCCATGTCATTCTAAAACGAAGTTCAGCATCTATGTTTTGCTCTGATTGAGCAAAGAAAGGCTTCTGGGAACAGATGGTGTTTTTGCCATCAATTTTTGGTCATCCAAATCATACAGATTGGCAATACGTTCAAATTTATCGCGAGTAGCAACAAAATTCAAATCAGATAAAAGCTGCAAGAAGGTAGTAATAGTTTTTCACAATTAATATGCATACATATTCACAAATATAGTAGCAATAGGTATCACACAGGTGCAAACTTCTTGAGGATCCTTCGAGCCAACTGGTGCGACTGCATAATGCAGAAAGAAAAGATCCTTTCCAGGTGGTCCTTTCTGGAAGTGCGGGAATTGTCTCTTTCTTTAGTGTACAGTCAAATCACTTACCGTGCGAGTGATTTCAATTTTCAAGGTATCACCAGCTCCTATAAATCCTTCCGTAGTATTGAATTTGTAGTTTTTATGATTGTTGCATTTAAGTTTGTAAACGAGATCTGTTTGGCTTGAGTTTATGAGCGTGTACTGCACTTTGCTTCCATTCGCGTCGAAGACTACCGATTTTGGATAGGTGATGAGAGCCATACAGCAGGAGAAAAACGTAAAAAATGAACTTGACCAGAAGGGGTTGCATTTATGCATAATCACTCAGACAATTACCAAATTTCCAACAACAGCCATATACTTCATTCATAATTGTACGCTTTCTCAAATTCAAGAGGCGAGGCAAGCAGTTGGCCATGCCCTAAATAATGTTCGTTACAGTTTACGACCATTCTGCGGAGTTTACGTAGGTGTGCCAGGGCCGTGCCATGCCGTGCTAACGCCGTGCCAGAATCACGCCGTATTTATCGATCAACCCTCCAGAACGGTTCCAACACGGGCAGAATTAATTCATATTACTTGGTCATCGCAAAACAGGATCGTAAAGTTCGTGCAAGCCCGTGCGGATTACGTCAGAAAGGCTTCCAATTCATTACATTCTCAAAAAAATCGACGCTCAAAATTCAACCTAGCAATGCTCTAACAATAAGGTAAAAAGCAACTGCAAACGATTTGAGTACGAGAATTGTTCCTCTGAATAAGCGCGAGAGATAGCTTCTTTTGGCATCAGATTATGACCAAAGTTGGAGCAAGAGATCATTTCAGTGACCATAATTGTGTCCCTAAATTCCCTAAGTTCTATGTTCTGAGAAATTATGCTGCAAAAAGCACTTGTCAGAAATCGCAACTGAAATCGCAAGTCACTAAAATGATGCTCATTTATCATTTAATACCAGTGTATCACTGGACGAGCAAAAATGATGCATGTTCATCATATTTCTGTCACTAATTCATCGTCGTACAAAAACTAAGGACAAAGTCGACTCGCACGATGTTGCTGACTGGCAGAAATTAGCGATCTGATATACTTGCGATAATGTGTCATGTCACATTATTTAGCTCGTCCAACAAATTTGCACTACAATCTCGGATCTGGTTCTATCAAAAAATTGTTGGTTTGGCAGGTTTTATCAGCTCATCCCACACCTACTATTTTTGTTTGGCAGATAAAACAAACTAGACTGAATGATGGGGGAGAAAAAGGTTAGCATTCAAGCACCACGTACGTAGTGGTTTACATGAAAATAATTGCATACTAAGTTTAGATCTACAAAAATAGTCGGTACGCAAAGATTTTGAAAAAAAAAGCTCTGAAAAACGCATTATGTTTGCCCTTTTCATATGTTCAGGCTTACTTCTTGGTTTTATCTTTCGCTCATTGAATGAGGCTAAGCAAATAGCTCAACAAAAATTGTCCTTAAGTCTACTTCCAGAGTTGCCTGGAGCCAGTGCCGTGCTAGCGCCGTGTCACTGCCCATGGGACCATAGATAGACGCTAGTACGTTGCTGGCACGTGCTAGGGCGTCTATCGCTTTCTAAACCGTTTTCTGCTTGTATAAAACTTCTGAAGTGAATTAAGGGGGGCGTCTGATTTGGACCTAATCAAAAAAAAAAGAAAAAAAAGAAAAAAACACAAGCCTAATCATAAGCTTTGTGGACCAAAGTCCTATATCAGAAATTTATATGTCACATCATACGGCTTCATCTGCCCATCTTTTATATTGAAAATAAAAAATACTTTGCGAATTGTGGCGTAGTAAATAAAATGCTCTCCAAGCATTCCTAAGATGATTTTACTACGTTCAAGTTTGCTACATAAGTAGCATCCTTTGAACTCGTGAGGCATGAAATGAGGTGAACTGAACTACTGCCACACTAAAAAAACCTCATTTCCAGGATTCATGACATTCGAAGAAGCCGAAGTCGGCCCAAACCAAGTGCTATTCAAGCTCGTTCGCATTGGAAGAATCAGCTTTTCGCACGATTCAGCAGTGAGACAGGTAACGTCTCCAGACTTTCCAGATTTCAACCTGACTGCTTTTATTATTGTATCAATCGTCTTTATAGATGTTTCGAGAATGGACACTACTGGATGAGCAAAATTTTGAAGCTCGATTACTAATGGCCACCACCGTTACACATCGACTGATGGAACACACAAGAATCATCTACAAGAAAATATATCCGTGAAAAGTTGCTTATATCGGGAGAATAGAATGTTAATAACAATAACATAGAACAGCTTGATCTATAGTTTTCGAGCTAGAAGAGTAGCCGTTCTGCCAAACCCAAAACATTTAATCGCTAAACGCATCTTGACGGACCAAGGTCCTCGCACTCGGTGACCTACCTTCCTTTGAAAGGCAAAGACTGTGTAAACACTTCCGTATTTGTAATTTATAGCCTTATTCTGAGTTGCCCAGACCCATCGAACTCTCCTGTAATTCACATAAACTGCATTGTTTCTTGTCGCTTTTGACCTTTAATGATCTCGCTGCCGTGTTTCTTGTACCCTTCAGCCAGCCTAGTTTCCTTGAATGTACTTACTTATTTGTGTTCTAAAGAAACTTTTCCAAGATTTTCTTCATCTAAATTGTTGTAATTGACTTCTTTTATGCCTTTATTTGATACTCATTGTGTTTGCCAATTTATCCTTGATAAAGCAATTGCGATGATGATTACTTTGCACTTTATAACCTTTATTTTCACCTTCTTGTTGTGCTGAGCATATTACAATGCAGTCTTTTCCTTTGAGGTATTCTCCAAAAATTTCTAGGATTTTTTTGACGTTTTTGACTCTTTGCGAACGGTGGTATATCGTAAAATTCATAATTTCGGCATATTTCCTAAATTTCAGAAGTTAATAGCCATTAATAATAAAAAAGAAGAAATGGTGTAAATTTCTTATATGTAAATAACCACAAAGCTCCGTTTCGTTCTTGCTTTTAGAGTGAAAGTATTCACAGACTTTCCCCGAAACTCCTCAGCAGGGAACGAAGTCTGTAAAACCCTTACAAAAATTGACAAGGAGAAGGATGGTTGGTCGAAGTGGTCTTTTGAGATATTTTGTATACCCCGGTGGAGGGCATAAAACGCTGATTTCGAATCTGTCTTTCTTGTCTGCGGCACTTTCCTGGACGAGGAGTTATGGGCGTTTGAAGGAGCAAAAAATGAGTATTTTTCTGGGATAAAAACATTGGCTAAAATTTTCCCAGCGCTTGAATGGGACAGCCGGAGTGTGGATATATCTCACCTTAGAGTATTTATTTTATAGAGTATTGGAAAGATTACCACTGGTCCATTTAAGCGCTAGCAATAATGTTACTACTGTTTTTATATTATTTGCACATTTGATTTTTTCTCCAATGAACGCTCATAACTTCTCGTGCAGATATGCGCCGCAGCTAAGGAAGACAGATTTGAAATCAGCGTTTTATGCCCCCCAGTACAGTATATAAATCATCGCAAAAGGCCACTTCGACTGACCATCCTTCCCTTGTGAAAAGTGGATTTATTTAGGAGTAAAAGTGTATTATCTACAAGTTGCTGGGAAAGTTTAAGTCCTGGAAATCAAGTAAATAAGAAGAATGCTAAATTTCTCAAATATAGAGGTGTTGCAATACAAGATTCCAGATATTCATTACATTGAATTTATTACAGTATCATGATATTAATACTTACATCCTAATATAATTTTTATAGATAATTATAGACTCTTATTGCTACGCTTGAAAATCCGTAATAGAGTTCCGTAATCGTGAGCTCCCCATCCATAACTTCTTGTCGATGCTTTTCTATCCAACATGATTAAAGGCACTGTCATGTAGAATGGATTGGCGTGTAAAAATCAAACGTTGTTAAGTTTGACTTACTAGTCCTCATCCATCAAACACAATTTTCAAACATAAACTGTGCTTACAAACTAAAACACCAATTTGCTTTGAATTCTCAGCATTCTTGAGGTTTTTTATTCGTTGCCTAGAAACGATGCTGGTGGTGTTCTGCAAAAACTTCTTACATTGAACTTAGCGTGTTTCTGTCCCAAAATCTGCCTGTTTCGAAAAACAAGTTTGTTCTCAAATATGAGATTGATGATCCACTTTTTTGATCATGTTGTCAACAGAAGTGTACACGTATCTTGAAATAGATCAAACGAATTTGTCTGCAGATTCACGCCAATGACAAAACTCAGTTGGTGAAGTTCCATTGCATAGTTTTGTGGACTTCGCAATCTGCACACTTTGTCTTGACACTTTATAAAGTTTCTTATATGGTTTGCTTTATAATAAGCTTTTGGACATCAAATGTGCTGCACATAAGTAGCGTCAGGGCGAATTTCCAATTTTCAATTTTTTTTTGTTCCATCAAGACCTTCCTGACTCTGATTTCAAATATAGGGCTCAGAAGCTCAATTTTATAGAATATCCCTTTTGGGGATTACATTCAGAATATTTCACGGCTATTCTACAAAACTATGGACAAGTTCTCTCTAATAAGCAAGAACACGTTGATCAGTATGTACTCGACTATGCTTGCCATGTGAAAAACGCGTCAAAAGCTAAGAAATTTTTTCTTACGGAGGGGGCCGGAACATCGTAGTTGGCGGTCCGCACACGGCTATAGCAAACTGCATTTCGATTTCTTCCTTTTAGAAATATAGTTTAGAGACCAGATTTGCGCAGTAGTTCCAGATCGAGGCTTACTACATGATGCGATAGCGGCCAGGGAAGATCAAATTTGCCCTGGCGCTGCCTTTAGTGCCTCCAGTGTTGGTCAAAGATTCATTTTTTTGAAGACTCTTGGCTTTGTCTCTTAAAAATACTTTGGAATTAAGTCAGAAGGAGAGCTATTTATTATTATCATTATTTTAGTAACAAATTTGACGTGGCAAAGCACAAGCAACTTGAGGCTCCGCCCATTCCTGCGCGGCTTCTATATCGTGTCGGGACCCGTACCGTCCAATAGTGGGAGGCGAAGGCGGAGCATGCGTTGTAAGCTCAAAATACGAAACCTCTTTCATCAAAACTTTATTTGACAAGGCCAAGTAGGTCAACATCAAGAATTTTGGTCAAATTCAAAGAATTAGTCAAGTAATAAACTAGCACATCTTCAAAAATCTGCTGAAAAGGCGAGCTTCATCATCTTGAAACTTTTTGCACTTTTGGGACCTTATAAATCAAAAAACAGGTCATTTAAGCTAGGATTTCTAGAGAGAGATGATTCAAAATACTTTTTTCTGCCTATGTGGCTGCTGTAATGCCCTTGGGCAAGCTAAAGTGTATGTCATTGCTGGACGGCTATTTATCCTACCGCACTTTTCGATGTGCACTATTATCCAACACAATATGGACATGGCCTGATAGCCTCAAGGAATCGATATCCAGCACTGGCCATCATTTTTCTCCAGCACTGGTGGCTCGCGTGTTCCTGTGGTGTTCTTTTACTTCCTTGGAATTAATAGCTTATTGTTGTTGCTGCATTCTTTCCACACTTTCAATTTTTTAGAGTACTTTACGCTCTGAATGTAAACACAACTTCATTCCACGTATTGGCAGCACTTTTCCAAAAGACCAGAAAATCAAAAACGATTTTTTCGCTGAAACATTTATCATCTGATTTATGACTCCTATGAGCCTGTCTTGTCATATCGTCATGTACTATATCATCCTTGGAGCTCCCCCTCAAACAAAAAGTACCTGCTTACCTCGTGGTGAAGTGGATCATTTATTTGCGTATGGGAAAATCTTGATGGACCTCACTTACTTTACAAAGCACTTTGTTTACCTTAATCGCAAATTCTTATGAGGAGATGACAAGTGTTAGCCCTTGATGTGGCGCCTAATCACAAACATACGCATTTTTTGTAGTTGATCAGAGAGCTGCTTCTCTAGCAGCAGCTAATTTTTTTTTGTTTGAAAATCAACCCAATGCCTTTTTTCGAAGAAGTTTGTTGAACTGTTACGCCTTAACTTCAAGTTAAGGCAAGTGCCTTCTAAATCTTTGGAAAGCTATTTCTATTATGTGGCAAAAAACTTCTGCTTCCGTTTTGGAGGAAGTTGTGAGGGAAGTTTAAGATCGAATGAGTCGGAAAAGTTGTCCCCAATATGGAATGGAAATACTTTAGATATCTTTGCCACTGGAATTGCTATGTTCCGAATTCCCATGCAACTGCCATTGAATTGCCATCCCTTGTTGCTCCAAATCTTGCCAATTTCTATTCCTTATTTCTTATCCCTCATCGCCAACTTTACAGTGTTTTTAGTTCTTATTAGGTTTAGTGCATTTCTACCTGTCCACCCTTGTGCCCAAAGCAAACAAAAAGTGTGCTAGTACTATTCGTCTGTACTTCATATCCTTGACGGACACCTCTGACGCAGTGTGGTCATATTTCACTTTTCTATATCATGAGTCGTTAGAAATGGTTAGGTATACATTAACAATGTAGACTTTGATTATTCGATTAAGCTACTAACGGTGATTAATGGACCAGTCCACATATAAGGCCTAGGACAGACTTCACGATTTGATCGTCGCGATTCAATCGCCGCGATTTCCATTCATTTCCATTTTACATTCAGAAATTTTGGGCTGGAAAAGTATCACTACCGAATGCAAGTTGATTGGCATGGAATGATGTTGTAACAGTTGTCTTGTCGCGATTCAATCGCGGCGATCAAATCGCGTGAAGTCTGTCCGGGGCCTAACCCGAATGCAAACAAATGCTATGAAGAATTCTTGTATGATCTTGACTAATAATAACGGGCTTAGGGTTGTTTAGTTCTTTTTTGTACGTGTGTGTGGGGGTGTTTGTCTGTCCGTTACGAAATTCGTAGAGCTAGTTTTAGCCAATTCCTTGAGCCCAAGTTTGGCATAGCACATGCTAGCAGCATGCAGGTCCATTGTGCAAAAGCATAAGCGAATCCGTTGAGCGAATGAAGTTGTTTACGAATCATTCAAGATAGCCTACATAGCGCGATGAGTTTCAATGTCATTATTAATGTGGAAATGAGTAAGGCATATAGAAAGTAGGGTCAGTGCGAGCCTCTGTGAAGCAGAGGTGACACACTGGTGTGTCATAATCGTCTCTTGTGTTTTGCAACACATTTTGGATGCCATCTTCATCATCCAAGAAAATTGTGAAGGTACTTCTGCAAGTTTCCCAAACCTCGGCACAAACTTACTTCAGAATA